AACTCGCCGAACTAAAAAGTAAAAAAAAATCTAAAAAGAAAAAATAATTTTATTGTAAAAAAGCGTGGGGTACTTTTCAAGATATGGGGGGGGGGGGGGGGGGTAGTATGTTAAGGCACACGCTGAAGCATATCTGACTTACTTGTTTCTTTTTTAGTCTCAATAAGAAAATAATCATTAAATACTTACTAACAAGCAAAAATAAACTATAGTAAAAAAAATAAAAAAAACACGCTGTACACACTACCGTAACTACCGTATTTTTAGATATGGAAAAACCCGTTAATCCTAATGTTACTGATCAGGATAATTTATTTTAATTTATTAAGTCATTCTCTTTCTCTTCTCTTTTATAAAGACAACTCCCGCATTAGGAATATATCCTGTGTCGCGGGGGACTTTACAAACATACATGAAACGGACACAAAGAACACCCAGACTCAGACCAACAATTTGTGGATCACACAAAGTGTCGTCCCATGTGGGGTTTGAACCCACAACACTCGGCGCAGTAGGAAGCGGCGTGGCGACCGCTTAAACCACTGCGCCATCTGTGCAGTCAAAGTCATTGTATTGTGATCGGTCCTTGATAAGTGTGCGAAGATTCAATTCAAGCCGACGTTTTAGACTGGGCTCAAATCACGCTCAAATCAATCAAATCAACATTCCGTTACATAGAATTTCGAAATCAGCTCATAAATGATTCAGTTCAGAGGTAACAAACATAAAATACAATCGAATTGAGAGAAGCTACTCCTTTTTTTAAAACCGTTAAAACTGTCTGGCTGTGTGGGGCCAACCACATTAATGACTTTTCACAGAACAATAAAAACAAGGGGAAATGACCCTATGCTTAATTGTCCAGCAGAACCGGTACCGACGCCCACACATTTACAAATGATTTTTGTACATTCACAATTCACACAAACCTCATTGGCTATTTAACACGTACTTAGATGTCGTGATATTTTAAAGTAATAATAATAATAACCTCACGCATCTCACACACGGCCGTCTGATCCCAAACTAGGCAGAGCCTGTGTTATGGCAACAAGACTGCTGATAAACATACTTATATATGTATTTTTATAGATAAATTACACCCAGACATAGAACAAATGACCGTGATCATCACACAATATTTGTCCTGGGTGGGAATCGAACCCACGACCTCCGGATTAGCAGTCAGGGCCACCAACCACTAGACCAACAGGCCCGTCATCAAAGTAGCTCATCACGAGATTATATGCTGCGGATATCCACTCAATTGTGACACTCGAGGGATTACAGCGTGGCTGTACTTAAAACCTTACGCATTTTAAACTATCTGTATTACCAAGATGTTATTTATCAACATTATGGACATATCCAACACACAATGTGGAAGAGCCATGCTGCCGGTATAAACCGGCATCGACCGGGGTACTACGTCCTCGCAGGAAACGAGAGCCTAAACCTCTCTTCGTCACCTGATTGCGGGAAGGGGGAAAAATGGAATTGCAGGTGGCCGTGGGCAACGGTAATCACTATGCAATAAAAAAAATCACACATTTAACTTTTTTCTAACTGTATAAAACAACTGTGATTGTGTCAAACAACGTGATTCAAAATGACATCATAATAATCTAATACGGGTACTTACACCTCTAGAAATATACCTACTTAGTGAGTTTTAAATGTACTTGAATGTTTAAACTATCACAAAGGGCAATGTAACATAATAACATTCCGTTCCAAACAATAAAACCTGTCATTACTATGCTATTATAACCTTCATGTACCCCATTTATGTTCTACGTGATCAATGTTACACCAAATTGGCTGCACGGGCGTCGTAATGGTTTAAGCGGTCGCCACGCCGCTGCCTACTGTGCTGAATGTTGTGGGTTCCATCCCCACATGGGACAAAACTTTCTGTGATCCACAAATTTTTATTCTGAATCTGGGTGCTGTTTCATGTACATTTGTAAAGTCCAGCCCCGACACAGGATATATTTCTAACGCGGAAGTAAAAGTACAAGTTTAAAGTGACTAGAGGGAAGGCACATTATAAAAATGACTTCTCCAAAACTAACACTGTTTCACTGAGTCGTGTCGTATTTGTTTATTAAGTTTTAAAAACTATCACTGAATTTATTGATGAATTGTAATAAATTGATTCTTCATTCCTTTTTTTTTTTTTTTTTTTTTTTAACGTGTGGAAATCCCCTCGGACCGTCACCCCTCCGGGGTTTGCGGCGGGGTGGTGTGTCGGACTCGGACCGACTAAAACCACACGGTGTGCCACTCTGCGCCTGTAACAGGAGGGATCCGGGAACAGCTGTTGTTAAGACATCCGGACCCCTCCTAGCGCCAGCCCGCTCCTGGTGCGGGCTACGTCTCAATATATTTTTTCCTCTCTTTAGGCGACGTCCGGCACACGCGGACGCCGCCCCCTCGCGGCTGGCCAAACTAATGCGGGTGGAGGGGAAACCCACCCCGTCCACCCGCGGCCACACTCAGGGCGGCATGAGGCTGTGATAGGCGGGCCTCCGCCGCCCGGTTCGCCGGCGGCGGATCGGGTCCGAGTGGAGGTCGTCCTCCCGGGCCCTCTCCGCCGCCTCCTTCCGCGAGCTTACTACCTCGCAGAAGGTTGCGACCGCGGTAAAACAACTGTCGCTACCGGCCATGGAGCGTACTACGGCCGGTAGCGAGAGATCCACTCCGATGACTGCAGTGAGGGCCCGGCGCTGCGCCGCCCATGCGGGGCAGACCGCCAGCGTGTGCTGGGCCGAGTCCTCACTGCAGTCGCAGTGGTGGCAGGCGGGACTCAGTTCCCTCTTAGCGACCGTGTGCAGGTACTTTCCGAAGCAACCGTGCCCGGAAAGCACCTGCGTCAGCCGGAAGGAAAGGGTCCCGTGCTGCCGCCCTGCCCACTCGGCGATGACCGGCTGGAGAGCCTCCACGGCGGCGAAGCCAGCGCGTGGAGTCTATAGCCGGAACGACCAACGAGCCATCGTGGCTCGGCGAGCGGCTTCGCGCCACTCGCGCACATCCTCGGGCGGAGGGCGAAATCCGCTCTCCGCCCGGGAGTCAGCCACTCGCCGATAAACTTCGGCGAGCACTTCCGCCTCCAAATCCCACGGGGGAGTTCCGGCCAATGCGCATGCCACCTCCGTAGAAACGGTGCGGTAACCGCGTATGGCTCTGACCGCCATTACCCTCTGAGGGCGCCAGAGGCGTACCCTATTCTGGGCGGTCAGAGCCGCCGCCCACACCGGTGCACCGTACAGTGCCATTGACCGGACAACCCCCCGTGTACAGCCGTCTTGTCGCGACGCTGGGTCCACCCATATTGGGCAAGAGTCGCCCTAGGGCAGACGCAGCGCCGACCAGCTTTGGAGCAAGCTGTCGGAAGTGCTCGTCGAAGAGCCACCTCCCGTCGAGGATCAGGCCCAGATATTTCATCTGGGCCCGAACCGGTACGAGGACCGAGTTGACCACGATTGAGGCGCCAGGGGGTGGACCACGACGGGGCCCATGAAATAACAGGGCCTCCGTCTTATCTAGGGCCACCCGTAAACCCAGCGCCTCAATGCGCCCGACCACCAGGGAGACTCCCCCTGTGGCCAGGCGCGCCGCCTCTTGGAAGTTTGCCCCCCGGGCTAGGGCGACAGAACCTGTACCAACCCGTCTTGCCAGCGTGGTATAGTAGGCTAGTAACCTCCTTTCTAAGGAGAGGCCCTATTCAGTGAACTACTAAAGACTGTCGTGATCGAAATCAAACATCGTAGAGGATACAATGAATCAAGATTATAGGTATATTCTCCAGAAAAACTTGCACCTCTTTTTAAGGGTTACGTTTTTTATTAGTTTTTATAACAAATGACGAAGTTTCATATAATTTTCCAACTCCTATTTTACATCCTTAGGGATATATTTTTTTAAATCCTTTCTTTATGCACGGCTTCGTCATCTAAGGAACATTTATTCAAAATTTCATGCTTCTATACCAGTCAGTGAATCAGTCTATCAGTTTCTTCTTTTATAGATTTATCAGCAGAATGGTTACTGAGTATAAACTCTGCCGAATTTGGGATCAAACAACCGTGTGTGAGATGTCTCAAGTTGTGTTAAGTTAATATTGTTATATTTAAATTTAAAAAGTCATAGTATTAAGGTGTCAGACAAACTTTCATTATAATACCAATGGTTAACACTACTATTCAACCTTCTTTTTAACCGACTTCAAAAAGGAGGAGGTTCTCAATTCGATTGGTTTTTTTTTTTTTATGTATGTACACCGATTACTCTGAGATTTATGATCCGATTTACGTGATTCTTCTTAAGTTTGATGCGGAATAGTTGCCATTTGGTCCCATAAAAATTTAACATAGTTAGGCCCAGTAGTTTTCATTTTATGAACATTTTTAATGAATATTATTGTTTACTTGGATGATATAATTTTAGTTTGTGTAAGGCCTTTTTAGGAGTTTACATTTAAGTTGATTATATATTATTACTATTGCTACTTATTTATACACGTATTTTTTGTGAACCATGCGGGCGAACCGTTATTTATCAACAACTTCATAAATTGTTTTCGATAAAACTAAATTTATCAATTACTTACTAATATTTGACTAGTTATTAGGAACGGTATTTATTACGTATCATCAACAGCCTTTAGTAGTCCACTGCTGGACATAGGCCTCTCCTTAGAAATCAGGTTTTGGCCACGCTGGCCAGACGGGTTGATATTGGGTTTGTGTCAAGTTTTCCGGATTTTTAATCCACTCGGACGTTATTTACCCTGATTATTTCTGGGAATTAGTTTCTGACATTTCGGCACTGTTGCAAGCGCCATGATAACGTATATCTAAGCTTTATTAAAAATATAAATGGTAAATAGGTATCCTGATTCCAATAGCTTATCAAATAAAATGAGTATGGTAGTTTAAATTAATACGAACAACTAATACGAGTATGTTGAGGAACTAAAACAAAATTTTCTTTTACAGGAAACGGTCGAAAATTTGTTTTTGGAAGAAGGTCAACTTCAAGTGAGTAGTAAATTAATATTCTATGCTTCAAGTTCTTACGTTTAAAAAAAAGTTATGAGTTATTGTGTGTGCGTGTGTTTATATACTTGTGTGTGGGTGTGTGTCAAGTACGTATGCATGTGTGTGCGTGTGTTTGTATTTAATGTGTGAATATTACACAAGTATATTTTCTATTTGTTCTGGTTTCTTTCTTGCATAACATTTAAGAAGCACGTCATTGATGTAATACATGGTTTTACTGTATTTTACACATAATTAAGTAATTAATAACATCTTTGATTAATGAGGGGAAAGAAATGCTGATTTTAATTTTAATTGGTTGGGCGAGTTCCTGAGTGAGATTTGTTTACGTGAAGAAAGACAAGGTTGAATACGCGTAAGTTACAGTCTTTACTAGTCCACTGCTGGACATAGGCCTCTTCTTATAAAAGAGTTTTTGGCTATACTATACCACGCTGGCCAGACGGGTTGCTACAGGGTTTGTGTCAAATTTTCCTTTTATTTTATCCTGCAGAGTTTTCTCCCTTAGTCGGCTCTTACGACACCCACGGGATGAATAGGGGTGTTGACAATTCGTATTCTTAATCCGTCACCACACTCAATTAATATCCAAACCATAAACAATCCATTATAATTCTTAAATCTTTCGAACAATAGTTTAATTCACACTTACCTCAAACTGGCAATTATCTAGATCGAAATTTAGCAGAGCGTGTAGCGTTAATTATTTTATAACTTAGCTATGTGAGCGGCCATATTGGCCTTCGGAATTTTGCTATTTGCATAACCATAATGAATGATTTTGCATATGTTACAATCGTCATTTAGTTTGTATATTAGTATCCAATGATAGCAATAAAATAAATTAAATAATTTTAGGTAAACTTGTCAGTTAGACTAGGTCAGTTAGAGTTTCCGGATGTCTTAATAACAGCAGTTCCCGGATCCTTCCTATGACAGGCGCAGAGTGGCACACCGTGTGGTTTTAGTCGGTCCGATTCCGACACACCACCCCGCCGCAAACCCCGGTGGGGTAAAGACCCGAAGGGGATTCCACACTTCCTGTGTCGCGGGGGACTTTACAAACATACATGAAACGGACACAAAGAACACCCAGACTTAGAACAAAATTTGTGGATCACACAAAGTATCGTCCCATGTGGGGTTTGAACCCACAACACTCGGCGCAGTAGGAAGCGACGTGGCGACCGCTTAAACCACTACGCCATCCGTGCAGTGTAATAGTAATGTATTCTATTTTGTCCACGATCAGTATAATTCTGGCGAAATATCGCTTTATGTTCTTTGGTTGGGGCTATTGATCAACATATTTTGCTTGTCTTATAAGAATCTTAAGAGAAGGTAATAACCTTCTCTTAAGATTATTTATTTCTGTCTGATCATCTCTTATTAGAGAAACTGGTGATATAAATAAATCAATTCATCGATAGTATGGGCGTAGCTAGCCATGGGCTCAAGGTGGGACAGAAGTCTAAAATGATATGTAATTAGCAAACTATACCCGCGGTGGTACCCCGGTTTAGTTTTTCATACAAAAGGTTACACCATATAGCCAAAGAATCTTCCATCCAAACTGTGTCTCTAACTTCAGCCGTTTGGACTCTGGGCGTATGTCAGTTTGTTAATCAGTCAATTTAGAGGTTTAAATCTATCTATAGATAGTACTTTCAGGTACAGTAAGTAAACAATGACACAAAGGTATTATGGGCTGTTTATTTATTTAGATTTTTAAATAACTTTCTCACGGATATTAAGTATTGTAGTTAGTACCTAGATAATTGAATTTTTTAGGTTTGCTTAGGTACCTTCAGGCCCGAGATACTTCACTTGCCCCACCCTGCCCCACTGTGGATACGCCCATGGTAGTCACTTGTTTATTAATATATTTTTTCCAATGAAATTCTTACGAAAAACGTAAGCGATCTTTCGTATCGTAATCACAGGTATGATTATATGATTTATAACAGGTGATTGTGATTTTATTCTATCCCTAGTAGTCGCATCAGATTGACAATTATTTACCTACCATGTAACGGCCTACTCTAGTACTGCTCATTGCTCTAATCCAATAGCGGCTTTTCCTGGTTTCACGTTACTCAATTCCGCCAGTTTTCACGTAATCACTCTCAAAACTGAAAAGAAAGATATTACATAGAATATTAAAAAAAAAACGATATATTTATTAGTTACTGGTAATTATCGCGCTCACCGTAGGTTAAGTACCCTACATACCTTTGAAATGCCATAACATCACTTCCACCTTGATGATGATGAAGAAACTTCCACTGCAAGGACGGAAAGTTTGTACATACAGAACTGTACTTTTTCTATTTCTAATCCATTTAAATTTGTGAATAAAATGGCCTGTTAAAATATGGAATTTACATTCCCTGACCTCGCTTTGAATCCGGTCTCTGTTTTCGTATGCCTATACTAAGCTTTAACTTATATCCTTTACAAATAGACATGTAATTTTTCTTGTACGACTATATTGTTACTACTTTTGAAATATTAACTCCTATTATTACTAGCGGCTTCGATCGCATGATTATTTCGTGTTTATTACTTTGAAAATAAATAAATTCCACACAACCTTTCATCCCTTTTTTACCCTCTTAGGGGTGAAATTTATAAAAATACTTTCTTAGTGGGTGCTTACAACATAAAAAGTATCAACTGCCAAAATTTTCAAGCTTGTAGCCCAGATGGTTTAGGCTCTGCGTTAATAAATCAGTCAGGAGTAGTCAGGACAATCCATATTTACTAATAATATAAATGCGAAAGCGTGTCTGTCTGTTACCTCTTCACTCTTAAACCACTGAACCGATTTAGATCAAATTTAGTATAGAGATAGTCCGAATCCCGGGCAGGAACAAAGGGTAGTTTTTATCATATGAATCATCCTTTAAGTGGGTGAAAAGGGGGGTGGAAGTTTGTATGGGGCATCAATAACCGCTGAACCGATTTAGATGGTATGGACATACTTTGATATTTTTATAAGTTTTAAAGATATTGTTTTAATCTAAACATTGTTATACTCAATGTGCCTTTTTTTTTTTTTTTTTTTTTTTTTTTTTTTCGTGCGGAAATCCCCTCGGATACCACCTGTCGGTGGCATGTCGGACACGAACCGACTAAAACCGCACGCCTTCGCCGGGTACTAATAGCCGGGGAACCAGGTATACCCTAGAAAGGAAGTCCCTGGTGCCCCGACATACCTCGGGTCATCTACAGACGAGTAGACGACCCCCCCCCCGTGTGGGAACCCCATGTTCCCTGTGCTCCCTGGAAGCGAGCGCGCTTCGCAACGCGCTCGCCGCCACCCCGGCCTGCTTCTGCTAGGGTGACAGATGGCCTCACCTGTCACCCCCAGGCCTGCGCATACACAATGTGCCTGAGATATTTATGTTACCGGTTAACCCGACCTTACACAATATATTTTAATGTTTACTTATGAGCTGTCATAATATTGATTGTTCAAGAATGTATAACTGTAACAAACTGGGCTGTTTGTCTTGCTGTTAGTGATCTCGATTACCGCGAAGCTGAAGGTCGTGGGCTGGATTCTTACCCGGGCCAAATGTTTGTGTCATTTTAGAACAGAAAAATATATTGGGTAAGACACTACGTAAATTTGTATGTAGGTACTGCTTCTGTGTTTAATCAAAAGCCTTTAACAGTCCACTGCTGGACATAGGGCTCTCCTTAGAAAGGTCGGTATAGGATTTGTGTCAAGTTTTCCTTCTCTTTGCAGTATTGTTGTCCTGCGTGGTTTGGTCCCTTAGTCGGCTCTTACGACACCCACGGGATGATTGGGGTGGTGACAATCCGTATTCCTAATCCGTCACCACACGGACAAGGAGGAAGTCTTGTAGCTAAAAGTAATTAAAATTAATAATAAGTACATATACGGATATTTGAAACCTTTTGTCTTTTCTTTTTGCTTCCGTGCAAAAACTAACTTGTATAAAATATTAATCTAGTTTATAGTAAAAAAATGCGTTTATTTCTATTCAACAACAACTAATTGTTTTTATTAATCGTAAAATAACTAATTAGGTAGTTGGTCGTCATATCCGTTTCGATATTTGCTTGTTGTTACATATAACAATAAAAATTTAGATTTATTATTTGGAATACATAAATATTCCAAAAGGTCAAACGGATAATATATTTGTGTCAGGTCTGAGTGTTATATGTGGTCATGTATCGAAATTACATTATTAAACTTAAATTGTTCCAAATTTATGATCCAATCCAAAAGACCCGCGGTGTTACCCGCGTTTGTTGTTATAGCCGCGGGGCGAAGCTAGTCTAGAAAAAGTAGCCTAAGTTACTCCTTATGTCATCAGCTATCTGCCAGTAAAAGTCCCGTCGAAATCGGTCCAGCTGTTCCAGAGATTAACTAGAACAAACAGACAGACAGACAAAAATTGTAAAAAATGTTATTTTGGCATATATGTACCGTGTAAACATACATATGCATTTAGTAAAAAGCGGTTATTTTAATATTACAAACAGACACTCCAATTTTATTTATTTGTATAGATAGGCTGAACCAGTAGCATTTAGTTCCTCATATAAGATTTATGTAATACCAGCTGTACCCTGCTACCCTTCGCTGTAGCACATTGTAGTTGCATTGTTGAGAAATGAGGATTAAAATTAACACTAAAAATATGGATTAAAAACAATATTTAGACTACTTTAGAGAGGGTTGTAAATGTGAACTCAATCGGTACATAACTTTTTGAGTTTTTGAAGCGTATACAAACCAACTTAATATTATTCATCATCATCATCATCAACAGCCTTTACTAGTCCTCTGCTGGGCATAGGCCTCTCCTTAGGAAGGAGGTTTTGGCCTACCATACCACGCTGGCCAGACGAGTTGGTATAGGGTTTGTTTCAAGTTTTCCTTTTCTCTGCAGTGCTGTTGTATTTCAATATTATTATATATTAATTAAATAGTATTTCCT